CCCCAAAACCCCAAAACCCCATTATTAAGATTCGATACTTTATTTAATATATTTATTAGTCATTAAATTAAGATTATTTATAATTAAATTCATAAATTAGATGATAAATTGTCTCAGTGAGAAACAGAGCTGTTGCTACTTCTACTGTCCCAGAGCCTCCCATTGCTGCTGAAAAACTTACTCTTGATGAAACTCAAATCAAAATGATCGCTCTCAGAGTGTCCTATTTCTTCTAGGAACTCGTCTATTCTCTGCTGGTTCCTCACGATCCTATTTCTTTCATCAAATTCGACCTTCTTGTACTTCAAAATATATGAGGTCTTGAGATTATCCAGATTTTCATCCTAATATGAAGCCCAAAAGTTATACTCCTCTACCTTGGTGCAAATTATTCCAATTACTGTAGGTATTTGTGCCAATTCCTTCTAATTCTAAACAGGAGTTATGTTAATTGTTGAATGGGAGTTTCCCTTTGAATTTATTCTGTAATATACCAAAAATGAAGCATGAGGGTTGAAACCTTATGTCAGATCGACAGTATTGCTAGAAGTTTCAGGATTGGATATTACTAAATGCTTCAACTGGTGATAGTGAACAGCAAAAAATGAGTCGCAAGTAAGATCCTTCAGCTTAAGAGAGAGGTCAATTTCCTTGTTTTCATGTCTAACTTCAATTGAAGATGCAAAGCATTCTCTCATATGAGGGGGCTAAGTTTCCTAATAACTATAGAATGTATCTTTCATCTTAGCAGATGAGGCAGTAGAGAACTGAGGAATCTGGAATGGAGAGATAATACTAGGACTCTCAAATTTCTGATTTAAATTTTGAGGTGAAAGTTCTGAGACTTAGTCCTAGTTTTGATTTGACTCAAATCTCTTGTGAATCTAATAAATTGAGAGAGTAAGAGCATAATCAACTCTAATCTAAGCACCCTTGTAGAGGTACAGCACCTTCAGTCCAAAAGCGCTTACCTCAGTAAAAGCATCGAATAAATCTTGAAGTGTTAAATCTGCTAAATCAAAATCTTCATGGTCCAACTACTTATTCTTGAAGTGCTTTGCGAAATTAATGTCTATTTGACTGAGAAACCTCTGATAGTTAGTCTGATACTTTTCTTACTTCACGTTTGCATTTAAAAGTTTTTCTTGGAGACCTCTTACAATGTCTGCAGTGTTGATGCTAGAACCAAGGTTTACCTGTTGAATTGGGATGTTTAACTTTGCTAAGAGTTCCTGGTTAATCTGAAACTATTAAAGCTAACTCATATTATGCTAGTTGCTCAATTATCTAGGGTGAGCTGAATTTGTATTGGAATAATACAGCTAGTTCTCTCTAAGAATGTAGTTATTGAAATTAAAGTTGAAGTAGAATCTGCTTAGGTATGACTTGTCAATTAGGCTTTTGTAGCATATTGGTTTATCAGAAAAATTACTAAAACCAAAATAAAAATAAGAATAATCGCTACATATTAGGAGCAGACAGTTTATAGCCAAAAGACTTGGGCAAGTTTGAGGCTTTGATCATGAACTAGTCCTTTCTCAAAAAATGACTTTAATGAGTAAATGGCATAGTCAATATCTTCTATCGGTAAATGTTCATCTACTCTACACAGCATTTCATAATCTTGCTTCCCTTCAAGATGTAATGAAGTTCATCTGTAAAGATAGATTATCCATGACAATAGCCCTAGATGCTTTTACTTTATATAAATTTACATTGATCTTGAATATATAGTGCTTTTAATTCACTGATAAGTCAAGAGGAAAAATATCAGCCAATTTTAAGTTGGAAGACTCTAAATTGAATTCCATCATAAATACCTCTTACTTAAGGTCATTCTCAAACTCAAAGTTGATTATATGGGTGTTAATCGTTTTTGCCTTATTCCTGACAGGAAACACTGTTTGAACTGTAGAAAGATACTGCTACTGGCTAATGCTAGGAGTCATCAATTTGTCCAAGTCTGAATCAGCAATCCCCCCTTTTTAATCAAGTTGAATTAGATCATCTAACAAGTCACCTTGGTCTTTGGTATAGCAGTGCTTAAAGCTAATTCTTGGATTTCTCTACAAAATATTAAATATTAAACCTTACCATTGTTAGCTTTTTGATTGGCTAGCTCTCATTGGTGATATCGAGGACATCTAAAACCCAAGAGGTGCATCTTATTAAGCAGGCCAGTGAAGTATTATGCCTCTCAATAGCAACCCTTTATTACTAATTAGCATTAAACTGGTTAGTGATATCCTTGAGTGGTGTCCTATTAGTACTATTCATCAGGCTCTGAAGTCCTGCTTCTTTCTTGTCAGTAAGTGAACTTTTGCCTTTTTAATCAGAATAAACTCCACTAGGATGAATATTTTCTTTGTCATTACTTTTCATGAGATCGCTTTGGTATCTACTAGCATGCACTCTTGGTGGCTAAAATGATTGTGAATTGCAGTTGAGGCCACCTAAGTTCTGTAAATTTTGTATCTAATCGTAGACCTCTTGTGACTAATTTTGAGTTTATGTTCTTCTCATTGAAATTTGCTTGATTATTTTTAATTATGATTAATCTATCTAATCGAGAGCTTATATATCTTATGGGGTTTTGGGGTTTTGGGG